ACGTGTGCTCTTCCGATCTGTTGAGGATAACGCGACGGATCGCTACTACATATCCATCCGGACGAGACAGCATAATTGGAATCGAACTTCACGGTAAGTTCGTTCAATTAAACAATTATAACAGTATCTGTTCCGTGTATCAATATTATTTCTTCAATGCAGCGTTCATCTGTCTTTTTTATCCTTTTCAAATTTTAACTTAATATAAAGTTTCCGAATTTTCTTTTCGAATATAAATTTAATATTTTCAAATAGGTAGTTTAATGTATTTCCATCATGAGATACATTAAAAGGCAACACTTATGTTTTAATCTGATTTGCAGAAAAGTAACGCGGAGGTAATAGTTTCATACAGGACACACATACTCAAAAACACACACACACACACATTTTGTATCGAGAGTACATACTGCCGCTATGGTAGCGCGCAACGCACATCCTTCATCAAACCACGCATCACCGAAGGGGTTAATTTAATCCGACCTAATGATCCCGTGAGCGTTTTTCGTGGCTCGCTCGAGGCCGGCCGGTACCGCTCGCGCGCTGCGCCGCGATGCAAATAACCGGCGTCGCCGCGCCGGTGGTGTGGTGTCTCGAGGCGTTTCCGCAGCTTCCAGGTGATTAATCGGTCCCGCGTGCAAGTGGACTACCTACACCACCTCGGCCTCCGTCCGAGGCCGAGGAGGTTTGTATACCGGCGCGAAGGAAACAGGACCGTCCGGGACGGACGGGTGATTATTTCGCGAGGATCGCTCCGTCATCGCAGAAGGCGGCACCTCTGATCTGCCTCCGGTACGGGGACCGGGGGCTTCCCATAATCACCTACGATCCTCGCGGCGGGAGCGATCTCACCGGCAGCGGCGAACCACTACGGAGAAGCCCGAGAGATGGGAGAAATCGGCGACTGGAAGCCGCGGCCTAGTCCGCGCCGCGGCAAGGTCGCAAATTCTTTTGTTCCTCTTCGTCTTTCTCGTCTCTTCTGCCCTTCCCTCTCGCTCTTTCTCGCTCTCCGCGCATCTTCCGCGCTTCTCTCGTTCGCGTTCTTCTGCCTCTCCTTCGTAACACGTCGCGGACGTCGCGTTGAAAATCATATGATTCTCTCGCGCTAATTTTGAAGCTATTTCGGTCGGGAATTATAGCATCTGTATAGAAATTTTATGCACAAGCATCAAAGTCAATTTACAATTGCAAATGTATAAAGTGTTAATACTTTGTAATTATTTAACGTTTTAAAGTTCGAAATGTACAAAATATTATAGGTAATATATTTTATATATTATTTTCAACTTTTATTGATTTAGGATAAGTTAAATAGAATAAGTTTATTCCTTGAAATTTGTAAATTACTTAATATTCATAAAGTTATTTTACATACAAATTACTTAGCAATAATTCGTGAACTTTATTCTTCTCGAAAGTTTTCTACAGAATATTAATTATCGGACATGTCGCGTGCAACATTACGGAATGGCAGATGGCAAATTCCGATGGCGCATTATACGGGCTTCGTAGATTATTTGAATGGTCCATTAAATACTTGTCAAATATATGAACATTATCGTAAAAGAGATATTAACACAAAATAATATTACAACCATTTTTTCAAAATTGCCAATTAAAACGCACATTTTTATTTCCATGTATTTCTCATTTTAAATTGTAATTCGTATATTAATTTAAAACTTAATTAATTAGAAAGAAAGAGAAAGCGAGAAAGAGAGATAGAGGGAGGAGTTTCCAATTCAATATTAATGAGTTCTGAAGAAAGATATACCCTGCAGGGAACATTATAACATTTTCAAGTCGTTTAAGAG